TATCATATCATTTTTGATATTATATGAAACCCTCACAAGTTTCTTCTTTCTTTTTATATTGATGCAAAAAAGTAATTCAATTTTTTGTATCCAATCAAAATAGGATCAGTTAAATGCAATGTCATGAAACAATAATGTCTGTAGTGATATAATTTTACTGCAATATTTTCAAAACACCTATCCCATTTATGAAGAGTGAATTTTTTTTAAATATAGTAAATTGTCTGGTAAACTTTCCAAATTGATCGTGTGGATTGTATATTGGATAGGTGTGATTTATAATTGAAATATTTTTTTAGGCACCATACCTACCATGGATTCTTTTAGCTTTCTCTGTACTCCTTGGTAATGCTGTCTACGTAGATTTAATGGGCATAGCTGTAGGTCACATATATTACTTTTTGGAAGATGTTTTCCCACACCAAAGAGGAGGTTTCAAAATTTTGAAAACACCTTCTTTTATGTAAGTATTCCATTCATAACTGAAATTGTCACCTTTACAGATGCACAAAGATCAGGTCTTTTATAAGTATGAGCTTCACATTCAAGTCCTGACAGGGATTTTTTCAAAAATGTTCTCAGGTCTTCGGGCTTAGTACCTATCTTGTTTAAACCTGGTTACGTGAAGTGAGATAAGTCGTGGGACTGTTTCCACTTCACAGTCTTCTTTAGTTTGACCGATCAAATATCCCCATTTCCTATTTTTAGTTAATATGTTTTCTGTGTTAGGTTGATTCAGTCTTTTTATCTTATTTGAAACTACGCTATTTTCAGCTGTTTTTATAGCATCACTAACTTGCTCTGCATAAATTTGTTTCTGTTCAACTCTTTCATTTTCTTTTTTATTAACCTTGTTTACAATCAATTTGTGTTTGTAGGTCGGACGAGTAGATACTTCCGATTCGACAACAGAATCCACCTTGGTAGCAAAAACAGTAGATGGATTAGTCGTAGGAAAATCCTGTTTTTGTTGCAGTTTTTCTTGAAAATTAATGAGTATTTTTTGCAGTTCACATTATGATTAAGTCCTTAAAAATAATTCAAAGATACGTGATTTCCTTTTCTATTAAATTTTCGCTAATATTTTGTATAATATCGGCACAAAATATGTTGTGATAGATCTGGGGAACTCCCAAGGCCGAACAGCCGTCCTTGAAAATATTTGCCACTTTTCAACTTGCACATAACTCTTACCTATTGAATAAATAACATTTCTAGAAATCATGTGCAGCAGAAGAGCAATTAATATTTGGATGGTTACAGTTTCAGTGTCCAGATATTGAACATTTTAGAACTAAGCCAGATGGTAACAAAAAAAGTCCTGTCAGCTGTTTTCATATATTTTTGTGTTTTTTTGTGATTCTCGTGAGTGATATAATTCATTTTACTCATTAATTAGTTTCTCATATCTGTATTAATCGCACCAAAAAGCATTAACCTCACAAATTCAGAATTAAACAACTCAAAATATAGAAAACCCAAAACAAACATAATCTATGTTTAACATTCAGCTATTACAATCAGCTGTTTATAGTTTGATTAGAGTCATCATTGGTAAATTTTTTTCCCTATAGATAAAGTTCAGTGCAACAGTCTTAAAACATAGTAACTTCTCTTTTCATCAGTTTGCAAAATTTTCAGAAAATCTGATGATTTCCTGTATGGAGCAGAACTTCTTTCAGGTATCTTTCCTAAGAATTGCAATAATTTTGAAAGATGTTATATATGCCAAGAATTAGAAAATATTCACTGCTTTATCTTTTATGATCTATTAACTCGTAAATTATCATGCTTAAAGTTTTTTCTTGAAATGTTTCAAAGATGTATGTACAACTGTATCAACAGTGTCTGAAAAAATATTGATGATTTTTCCTTAAGTAATTTTTAGGGGTTTGCATTTTTTGTTAATTTATTATTCTTAGGTCAAGCCTTTACAATAATGTTGGTTTACGTATGGTCTAGACGGAATCCCTTTGTGAGGATGAACTTCTTTGGGCTGCTGAACTTTCAAGTAAGTAGTCAAGTCTCCTGATGATGAGAATTTTATTACCTTGAAAAAGTAAATCATTACTATTCAAGGTCATTCTAAACAAATGTTATTTCCATTATGTATTTATTAGGTCAAAATATAATTTCACATTCATATTTCTTCAATTTCACATGTTTACCTTCATACACATATTTTACAGTTTAACATTTAAAATTATATATTTTTACATCTTCAGATATTAACATTTTACATTTCGAATCAAAATCAAAACATTCTACAATTTTTTATGTTTACATTTCACATTTTGTATCTCCAACTTTACAATGGTCATTGATTGATTAGTCAACTTGCTCATGCACAAGGTTATACCTTTTATGGGCAACAAACCGATCTATTTGCTGAATTAGATTGAATAATTGTTATTGTAATTTTATATATCTTTAATGGCAAAAATAAATAAAAAATGCATTTACAATTTTAAATTTCAGCAAAAAATTCATCAAACTGGAAGTTTTTGTTTATTTATGAATGGAATAACTTCGTAAATATTAAAATCTTTGAAAGACATTTTATCAGTTCATTTGGCATACATGATCAATCATTTATTTTGGACTGATATGTAGAAAATTGTTCAAAATTGGTCTATCACACTTATTTCCAGTTCCTGGTGCTGTGTTCATGTTATTGAGAAGCCACCCAAATGATATAAATTAGGTTATTAAAATTAATGATATTATCACTGAATATGGAGTATTTTATTATGGTGTACCACAAGGTACTGCAAGGAAGAATTTAATTTTTTCATTCTGATGGTATGGTTATTTCATATACTTCATTGAACTGTGTTATGTTAAAAGAAATAGTAGATGAAGATTTCATTATGATTGAAAATAATTTCAGTCATGATTTGCAAACAATAATCATCAAGTATCTCCCTTTAGATATCATATCATTTTTGATATTATATGAAACCCTCACAAGTTTCTTCTTTCTTTTTATATTGATGCAAAAAAGTAATTCAATTTTTTGTATCCAATCAAAATAGGATCAGTTAAATGCAATGTCATGAAACAATAATGTCTGTAGTGATATAATTTTACTGCAATATTTTCAAAACACCTATCCCATTTATGAAGAGTGAATTTTTTTTAAATATAGTAAATTGTCTGGTAAACTTTCCAAATTGATCGTGTGGATTGTATATTGGATAGGTGTGATTTATAATTGAAATATTTTTTTAGGCACCATACCTACCATGGATTCTTTTAGCTTTCTCTGTACTCCTTGGTAATGCTGTCTACGTAGATTTAATGGGCATAGCTGTAGGTCACATATATTACTTTTTGGAAGATGTTTTCCCACACCAAAGAGGAGGTTTCAAAATTTTGAAAACACCTTCTTTTATGTAAGTATTCCATTCATAACTGAAATTGTCACCTTTACAGATGCACAAAGATCAGGTCTTTTATAAGTATGAGCTTCACATTCAAGTCCTGACAGGGATTTTTTCAAAAATGTTCTCAGGTCTTCGGGCTTAGTACCTATCTTGTTTAAACCTGGTTACGTGAAGTGAGATAAGTCGTGGGACTGTTTCCACTTCACAGTCTTCTTTAGTTTGACCGATCAAATATCCCCATTTCCTATTTTTAGTTAATATGTTTTCTGTGTTAGGTTGATTCAGTCTTTTTATCTTATTTGAAACTACGCTATTTTCAGCTGTTTTTATAGCATCACTAACTTGCTCTGCATAAATTTGTTTCTGTTCAACTCTTTCATTTTCTTTTTTATTAACCTTGTTTACAATCAATTTGTGTTTGTAGGTCGGACGAGTAGATACTTCCGATTCGACAACAGAATCCACCTTGGTAGCAAAAACAGTAGATGGATTAGTCGTAGGAAAATCCTGTTTTTGTTGCAGTTTTTCTTGAAAATTAATGAGTATTTTTTGCAGTTCACATTATGATTAAGTCCTTAAAAATAATTCAAAGATACGTGATTTCCTTTTCTATTAAATTTTCGCTAATATTTTGTATAATATCGGCACAAAATATGTTGTGATAGATCTGGGGAACTCCCAAGGCCGAACAGCCGTCCTTGAAAATATTTGCCACTTTTCAACTTGCACATAACTCTTACCTATTGAATAAATAACATTTCTAGAAATCATGTGCAGCAGAAGAGCAATTAATATTTGGATGGTTACAGTTTCAGTGTCCAGATATTGAACATTTTAGAACTAAGCCAGATGGTAACAAAAAAAGTCCTGTCAGCTGTTTTCATATATTTTTGTGTTTTTTTGTGATTCTCGTGAGTGATATAATTCATTTTACTCATTAATTAGTTTCTCATATCTGTATTAATCGCACCAAAAAGCATTAACCTCACAAATTCAGAATTAAACAACTCAAAATATAGAAAACCCAAAACAAACATAATCTATGTTTAACATTCAGCTATTACAATCAGCTGTTTATAGTTTGATTAGAGTCATCATTGGTAAATTTTTTTCCCTATAGATAAAGTTCAGTGCAACAGTCTTAAAACATAGTAACTTCTCTTTTCATCAGTTTGCAAAATTTTCAGAAAATCTGATGATTTCCTGTATGGAGCAGAACTTCTTTCAGGTATCTTTCCTAAGAATTGCAATAATTTTGAAAGATGTTATATATGCCAAGAATTAGAAAATATTCACTGCTTTATTTATATTTTGTGTGAATGCCTTATGAATGAAAAACAGACTTTTTTCTTGATTTAAAAATGAATATTACAAAAGTTTTCCCTGAAGCCTGGAAAACAATTGAACTATTAGCTCCCCTTTATTTTTGTAGAACGTTATTTGAAGATTATATTAAACCATGAAATACTTTTACGTAGTCTACCAGACATCCATAAAACTATTTGTTTATTTTCTAGGAAAACACTATTTGATCCACTTCCTGAAGACGCAGACTATCAACGACTTCCAGAAGAACAGCCGGGTGGATTTCAATGGGGCAACCGAAATAACGATGATGATGGAGATAATGCAAATAATCCTGAAAATAGGGGCGAAAATGCTGGAAACCAATAGCTGTGTTCGATAGACCAATAAGAATTTTGTATTTCTATGATTGTATAAACAACCTAACTTCATTTTGAATATCTAATTCTTCTACCCATTATTATGTGATAATGATATATAAAACTGCAAAATGTTTTATTTTCACTGAAATATATGTTATTTAGTTTTGGCAGTTTGGTATTACTGTAAATGGCACAGTTGGCAATGCAAATATTTTCATTAGGTTTTGTAGAAACACACGAATGAATCAAACCAAATATTTTATTGATCTGGTTTCAATTTGATCAGAATATTGTTTGACATTCAGCGGTATTCAAAGTCAAGCCTGTGAATAGGGATCTCGTAAATACGGTGAATAGGATGTGTATATTCGGTTAGCGATTTTTTATTTTTTAGTGTTTGAACACTCGTCTCGAACATATGTTCATAGTTTTAGCTGTTTACTATGTTGAGTTTGTTGGTAAGAGGCATGAAAGTAAGAAGTGTTCGAAAAAATTGAGTGCTCAAAAACACTTGAAATGTTGACAGTGACATACAGTGATTGTACTCTGAGTCAGAAAACTGTGTACAAGGGGTACATACAAGCTTTTCACAAAAGGTCGAGAAGATTTGATTGACGATGCTCGCCCTAGGCGCCCAACCACATCAACGACCGATGAATAAAGAAATATTATTAGGTAAGTTGCCGAGGATGTAGGAAATTTTTGGTTATAAAGCGTGTGGCAGCTAAGTTCGCTCCAAAATTGCTGGATTTCAGTTAAAAAAAACCGTTGTATGAGCATCGCTCAGGAATTGTTGAATAACGTCAACGGCGATCTAGATTTGCTTGAGAGGGTCATAACTGATGCCGAATCATAAGTATATGTTTGACATCGAAACCGAATTCAATTAGCTATTGGATTGTGTTTACGTTTCCCCCACATTAGGGAATTGCAACTTTTGAAATTGTACGAAACGCATTTGGTCACTACGCTAGTTCCCAAAAATTATAAACTTTTGTCCAATTCAACAGACCTTGTAATGTACGAGAAAGCAAGAGTGAGATCAGCTATAAAAAAACAACCCATATAATGGCATCTATCACTATGACAATTGCAGGATATCTTGCCACTTTACCATTATGTAGTAAAAACTCCCCGAGATTCTGTAATACAGTCCC